TCATTTTCCATTTACACGATATAGCACAACCCATCTTTGCGAGCTTGTTGCGGGCCACAAACCCTGCACATCTCAGCACTAGCCTCCAGGATTATGACTCGGTTCACAAACTGACTACTTATTTCATGTGAGGAATGGAGGATTTCATTGAATTTCAAATGGGAATTCCTAGCTTCTTAGCTTTTCAGTTCACGCTTCATTTGCTATATGCACGACGAATATTCCCATTTGAAATTTAATCAAATCTTCCATTCCTCGCATGAAATTATGTGATCATTGAGAATTCCACATCCGGTCCGAAGACGAAATTAGCTCCAAACAACTCATGATGTCAAGTTTTCCTTTCCCAAGACAATTGTTTGGTTTTTATGGTTGAATACTGATACACATATAAACAGCGTGATAGTTATTGTGATGTATTGATATGATTACGAATCACTGAAAACGAGCTTGTTCGCCACTCTTTGCTCTATTTGAAATGCGCTCCGTGGGACGGTTTAGATAATCTTGATTCATTATTCAACGCACGATACAGCCAGGTAAGAAATAGAGTCGTAACACAAGCATAACGATCAAGTGTTCGAATACCTAATGCATAAGGATGAGATGATTCAGAATATTGTAACGAGACAGGATAAAGCATGAACTTACATTCGGCTGCTTCTTCACATACATGGCTCGTTTAAAACAAGAGGACAGGTAAGTAATGGGCTCCATGATTACAGCCTCCTCCATATCCGCAAGTGGTGTATCTTGCTTTAACAGAACGAGATCATCTGGAGGATAGCTTTGCATTTGCACACGAGTAAATATCACTTGATCGAGTTGATCCACATCTAGCAACGGTGGTTCACTGGACGACGCTTCCAAAAATAGCATACATGGAGGTCGTCCAGATAAACCTAATGAAAGATCTGGAACAAGTGAAGACTGGGAGGCAGAAAACAAACCTCGGTCGCGGGTGACCAAAAGAATTCTTTCCATTATTTTAGTGGAATCAATTTCCTCTATGGGAGAACAAGGGTGAATGTAAAGGATAATACTAACCATTCTGGGAGATGTTTTTAGTACAAGCGTCATTCAAGTTGACTAATTCAGCAAAGGGATTGTGAGAAATATCCATGGCTAAACAAAAAAACGAGATGCACATAATTGTAAACGTTCGCAGTTGATCTGTATTAAACTTTACTGAACAACTCATGGAATAGTCATTAAGAAAGAATGTGTTGAGACAGACTACTGTTGAAATGGAAAGAATGATAAAAGACACTAAAACACGTGATATATGGGAAGGAACTGTGCATAGAGTAACAGCAATTTTTTGCTTATGAAAAGAAAGCAAATTAATAAGATAGAGGTTAAGTAATTAGCGTACTTTTTTCGGGGTGGGGGGGAGGAGACTGGAGAACAGTAGTGGTATTTAGACAATTACTTGAAGGTGGTTGGTGACTCATGTACTAGACTAGCTTGAAAGAACCAAGGCCACAGACAGTAGAATTGAGGTCAAAAAGTGTTACCCATGAGAATGAATGAAGATGAGACTGTTTGTGTATATAAAACAAAAAGAAGTTCTAATGAGGGAATCAAACGTCGTACACATGACCCA